TGCAACGTAAGTTTTTGTAACGTTCGTTGCTTTGAGGTTTCCCAAATTAGTCTTAAGATAAATCTTCTGTTTTGTTAAGCAAAAAATATATTCAGACTTAATAGCATACAGCATAGTGTTGAGTATTGTCAGGTTTCGATAACTATGAGTTTCAGTAATGCTTTCTTTACATTCTATTTTGGTAGTAAAATATACGTTAAAACTGGCAAACGAAAATACAGTACTATTAACTAATCAGCCACAAAGGTTATTTGTATCTTAATTATAATGTTTTTAATAATATAATTTGATTAGAACTATTAATAATCTCTCCAATATGAAAATACTTAATCTAAGAACACATTTAATAACATTCGACAGAGCATATTTATTATTTATCATCTGCGAAGGCAGTACACACAGCGATCATTTGATTAGAGCCAGTATTAATCGTATAAGAATCTATAGTGGGTTATCTCGATGCCTGAGAGTGGAGTTCATTATTTATTATGAATATTAGTCAATTTTTATTTAGTCGAAAAAGCGGGGAGCGGCGGGACCGGCTGCAATTAACTTACGCTACCCTGTAATTATGGACTGTAAATTTCTGGACTCATCCCGACAACGGTTCTTATTCTATCTGCGGATTTGATGTTCTTAATCTTTTTTAATAAAAAGCTGATATCAAAGGCACGTATCGCTGGACTGTCACGTGAAATTAATTATTCATATACATTATGATTGATTACTTAACATAAAATATATATATTTAAATGTTAATTGAATACATTAAATAATGTTTGTATGTAGGAAGTTTCAGCTGTTGGGACATAGTGACAAGTTAATTGATACCTCGATATGGAAGTGTAAGTATTGATATGAAAAAAAATTGATACATTTGTGTGTTTGCTATGTATTCAGAAAGGTTGGAAGATTCATGAAAGTTTCTTTCTTAAAATCTATAACAGTTCTATATTGCCGCAAATGTATATTATATAACCTTGAGATAACTATGGATAATGTGTATTATAAAACAAAGCTAAATATTACCAATCATAAATAGTTCAATCATGTGAAAACGAAACAGTATTACAAAAACAGCATCCTCACAAATTATATCAAATTAAAAAACTTATACCTACTTCAGATTACTTCCTGTGAGAAGTTCAAACTTTATGTTCCGTTCTAAAAATAGATAAACAAAAACCATAACGAAGACACCGCAAAATATAAAAATTTATTTCTCAATACACCATTTCCGAATATTTACTGCATGTATTATTATTATTATGAATCAAGTAATAAATATTTAGAGCTAATTTCTTCAAGTATTATCGTTTTCATCATCAAATCTTCCATCCTTATCACACTTAATACAACGAGCTATAAGTGTGAGTATGAAAACATCTAAGACAAAAAAAATGGATTTATTTTGTATCTGCATAACACAACATGATATCCACAAGGTATTAGAATGAAACGTTTTCGATCTATGACCCTCGTTCATTTACAATCAGAACGATGTCGTGACACGTTATGCTTGTCCTTGTCATGTTCATAGATGATTTCGAGACACAATGGAATTCCCGCCATGACGCTGCAGAAACGAAACCATTCATACTCTTTGCACCAAATCTTTGTAGACAAATAGTCTGCGCGAGATGAAAAATTCTCGGAATTTAAAATTAAACCTTCCTTTAGATTTAATGAATGTCATTTGTTCATTTCTTTTGTTAATTCAAATGAAAATATTTATGAAATAACCATCACCAAATGAAGAACAATCAGGGATGCGAAAAGCGACCTTCGACCCCTGATTTGCATACAATGGAGGAGCGTGGGCGCATGCTCGGGCTCATGTAGTTTTTTAAATATGTTTTTAATACATCCTGTACTTGTATAAAATTCCTTTACATATTTTTTCAAAGAAATGTTTGCTTTTTAAATCAATTGATCGGTAATTGTCTAATCGAATTATAGTCTGACTTTAATTAATTGAAGTAGGCATTTCACGTTGCTTGGGAATGGCTTAAGATTTGACCTAATGTGATAATTTTAAATGAATTAATTGAAATTTTTTCTTGGCAGTACATTTTGGAACTATAGTAAATTTTAATACTTAATGCGGAAAACGATTTCAGACCCGAAGTTAGTCTAATAGACCACAAACCGGTTAGCAAATCTCGTTAAAAATAGATGATGTACGAAAAAAACATAAGCGTTTTTTAAATAGAATATATAAAGTTTATAATAATAATCTGTTATATTATGTACTATTATTTAAATATATTCAGTACATTGTAACCAAAATATATCTGGGCGTGTTCGGTATGGCATGTTTATTTCAATCGGCAATTTTTCAGCGCGTATGTACCGCAATGCAGTCATTGGAGATTTATAGACTCAGTTCACCCTCGTATGAGTCGAGTCGAGACGTGATTAATGGATTGATCTATTTGCTGCCCAATCTAACTTTGATAGTTAAATTGACTTCAATTTGCCTTGAAAAAAATTCTTATGAAATGTTATTTTATTTTTAAAACGAGCTTCTGTTTCTGGGGAATTTATTGAGGATAGTAAATAGACTTCTTTATCTGCAATAATGTGCATGCAAAATAACTGGCTAAGCAATTATGAATTAAAAGAAAAATTCACGATGGCCTTCGTATTTTTACAGTAACAATGTAAACAATAATTATTGATTATTTTTTTTATATTTCAAATCTTGGTTACAAAAAAAATAATATTATTAAAAATAAAGATTAAAATCCTTATAACTCTGAAAATATTTAGCCTACTATTTCAAACCTCGAACATGCATTACCTACCATGAAAAATATCCCTTCGACTATCATAATACTCATTATATTAGATTAACATATTAGTAAATGAATAATAATAATAACGTATTCATATTTTTAATCCTTTTTATTTCTTTTCGAGTATAATTTGGAGGTTTAATTACTAGATATGAGGATCAGAGATTAAGAGAGAATAAGAAACATGGTGTTTTAAACAACTTGTTACTATAAACAAAAGGAGTTACAGGGTGCAGCGGATATTTAGCGCAAGCGTAACCATGGGGAGGCGATAATTTCCCATAGCACTCGAGTTCCCATCAAGTAGGGTTCAGTTATGGGGTACGGTGACCGCATTACGAGCTGAGCGGGCCTCACCCCCGGGGACCATTTATCAAATGATCATTTGATTTTCTTGTGTTTGATCACTGAACACATTAGAATTTGCAACAGTTAGCCGTCGATGGAATGAAGTGATGTTTTATTTATTTTTATGGTAACGATAAGTCTGTACTTAAATTTTTTTTTTTTTATAACTATTTATAAAAAGATTATTTTAGGTCAATTTTATTACTTTTTATTTAAAAATATGTTCGACAACAACGGATAACAATAATCTATACTTGACTTTTATTCAAAATTTAAAGCTATCGACGAGAGAAATCTGGATGTAAATATTTTAAGAGACTTTCTTAATTTTTTATCGAGTATACTGTGATAAAAACAGAGATAGAGTAGTTTAAGTTAACGTTATTTGTCGCATATAGACAGAATCATATAATGAAATAACGAAGGTAAAAAAAACGAGAAACAAAAAAGTAAATAAATTAAACACTCTAGTCGCAGACAAAACGCACACACAATCAGAATCGAATATCAACATGTCAGTGAATGTTAGCACTGAATCACATCCGTGTCACCCTCGCCCTCTCTGGGATACGTCTTATAAAATACGATCTGTTTTGATTGTGGCCTGGGGCACAAATCAATTAGGCCCCCAAAGGCCCCCCGTAGCGAGGAGCCCGCGACATCCGAACCAGTGGCTCATTTTATGACACGTAGCTGAACGAAACGACTGATTAACATTCACCAACTTTATGAGCACCAATTGACGCGGTCATTTTTAACAACGTAATCATGACATTGATTGGTAATTTTATAATGATTATAGAACGGCTCTAAATTTAAGAGCAATAATCCGATAGATAAACTACTTAGATACACAAATATTGTCGGAAGGCGGGTTTATTGCGATGTAAAGCTAAACAAATCAATTATAATTTATAAGTAACTGAAACATTTAATATAACGATTGAATATCTTATCGTTTTGCTTTTCTTAAACTTTTTTTTGTATGTATAAGTTCTACTAAACAGTTGTGCTAATGAAAATATTATGTATTATTAAGATAAAGTAATTAGTAGCAGTAATAAGCGTGAGTTTTCAAAATCAAAAGCTAAACGCTTGTGTTATTTTCACCCTAAAGTTCAATATCGATTTACAATTAATCTTAGTTTTAATATAAAATCTAATAGACAATAATGACGTAATGAAAGCCGCCGGCGACAGGGTCGTTTCCCACGCCGCTTCGGACAATTTCAAGCTTTTTTTTTACATCAAAATAAATTAAGTTTCGGGTAATCAGGCGCCGCCCGATTCCTGAACCTCTTCTTTGCAATATTTCTAAAACGCTATTACAAATACATTTATATTACCACCACAAAAAATCTCTCGAGAAATTTTCGCCACATAATGAGGCCATTACGGGGAATTTTGTTTTACCAACATAATAACACCGCCTTTTATTCGGGCGATCCCATCTGCAAGGACTCTGTTTAAAAAGGACAATATTATTCCCGAGTTGATGAGATTTTCGTGCTAAAATTTTAAAACCAAATTGCTATAATTTTGTCATTAACTTTTCGGATTAATACAACTAACGTAAGGTCGTATTGGTCGATAACCTCAAGAAACATAATTATTATATAAAAAATATATAAATAGATTGTTTAAAAAACAATTCTATAACGATAATAATGAGTATTATATAAATTTTATTTAAATACCTCCATATATTTATATCAACATTTAAATTATGTATATTATAAAACTGTTTCACATGATTAATAGGATAATAAAACGAAACCTGTTCCAACATTGATATATATTTGGAATGCTTATTAAAAGAGTAAGATTTAAAGCAATTAACTGATGGTTTACAAGATGCGCCCGCGCAGATGTAATGGCTCACGTGAACCAGCCATTACCCCGTCACTAGAAGCACCCGCAGCTCCCGACCTACCTAGATCACGATCCCAATTACATAGCAGGTTGTATACTGTATTTTGTATATATATTTTGCCAGCGAAAGATATTTGAAGAGTAAAAAATCGATCGAGATTGTATGTATAATGAGGTAGGATTTGAAATCATCAGAAGTTTTGATCATTTGTGTTGGCTTTTGTAGGTCTGAAATCTTGTAGTATTTCCAAGTATTTACTTTATCCTACTAATATTATAATTGCGAAAGTTTGTGAGTGTGTGTGTATGTTTGTTACTTCTTCACGCTCAAACGGCTGAACCGATTTTGATAAAATTTTGTATACAGGAAACTGACGTCCAGGAATAACTTATAAGCTACTTTACAACCCAGAAATCCCGGAAATGAGCGTGTAACACCGCGGGGCGCAGCTAGTATGTCATAAAAGCTTCTCCATGTGAAAAGAGGCCTTTCCTCAACAGTTGGCTCTGATAGACTGATGATGAATGAATGATATAAAGTCATAAAATAAACGCTTAATATCTTAATTGAAATCATTTCATTAGGTATATACAAGTATTACTTAACTATCAATAAATTGTCAAGATTCTAAGCTCGTGATGAGACAGACAGCAACCTTGTAATTGGTGATTTGGATCAATTTATGGCGATTCGCTCAATTTGCAGACAACGGAGCAGCGACGGGCTCACCTCGTTGCGAAATTTACTCTGGTTTCAATTAAAATTTTATGTCCAGCAAATTACGGCCAATTATGTCCTATATAAACCGAAATGGCGAACTTTAATATCATTATTACAGTGTTTAGATACAACTTTCAAATACTTAAAGTATTGAATAAATCGAGGTAGTAAATTAAATACGCCGTTACATTTATCTATCGGAAAATGATTCAGTTGCAAATAATTGATAATAAATTTGTAAACTTCAAAGTAATTTAACTCTACTAATTATATGTACATTATGTTTGAAAACTATTTTGCAAAAAAAAAATTGAAAAACCATATAAAATTGGATATGTTACATAATACGTGCTGTGTTTGAAATGACAAATAGCGCTCTCTGTTCAGAAACAATTGTTAAAGTTTCTTGCAATTGATATCAAATACGCTATAAATTTCTATACACACATATTATACTGAAGCATGGTATAATGATACAAATAGCGAGTTTCCGCAACTTCATGATTAACGCGTTTTTGCTTTTGTCGGTCTTCACAAGTTCTCGGATGTACAACGTGAGAAATTTCATAAAAACTGTTTAATGTTTTGATATATAATATTTGAAATTATAGTGGAAACATCAACACGATTTAATTTAATGTGCCTTTCAATAAAATTTTTTTCAACTGCAAAAAGATGTAAATGTTTACTTAACTATAAATTGCAATGCAAATATTTTTTTAAACCTTTATATATTTGACTTTTGGAAATATGACCATGTGTTTTAATTTCATACACAAGTGATGAACCATTTGTCTTCATGAAATGCTCTATAAACAACACAATACATTCCATATTTTCTAAAAACATACAGATAGTCCTTTAAAATATATTCATAAATTTTTAGAATAATATTAACCTTATAATCCGTATAATTTGCTTCACATTATTGAAATTCCTTTTTCCTCTATCAGTGGAGGTGTTATCGCTTTGGCATCTTTCAAGATAAAGATGGAAGAGTTATGCTTCACTCACGTTTTTCTTAACTTTTAAAATTTAAGCCTGTACTCGTACATGTGTATAATCTATAGATATAGTCATATTAAATTTATATTGTAATTAAACCCTTAAAATCTTACTTAATTTTATATCTTACATGTCTTTTAATCAAAGGTTACCTAAGAATACTTAGTCTTAATCGAAAAGGGACCTGCTATACCTATTGTATATGTAATTTTTTTCTTATATCTTTCTCTCTTATCTCTCAAAAAACTTTTATAAGATTTACGTAATTTTATAATAGAAAAAATATCATCTCCAATATATTCATATACTGATATTCGATATTTAAATTCAAGTATTTATTTTACAATGGAATATACATATGTTTCATACATAGAATACAAGAGACAATTCTCAATATTTGTGTTCAGCTGTTGCTTGAGAGTCGGTCGAAATAGTCCGTCGGATCCGGATCATATGACGGCCGATATTTATGTCGCCGAGCTCCGCCCACGGCTCTTTCATTCAGCCTGTTTGTATTTATTTCGTGACTATTTATTTGTATTTGACTCCACTTTTGAATTATGCATGAGTACGTTCCCGTGCGTAGGCAGCGTGACGCCTGCAACCCTCGATTTTACCAATACCGAGCTGTTTTAATACCTTTTTTTTCACTAAGCTATATTAACTCAGCCTAATTAAATACAAATAAGCTGCAGGTGAACCGCGAAGTCTGTTACGATTCGTTCGTTAGTCTGGAGTTGTTTTTATTAAATTTCCTAATGTATATGTATTTAATTTATCCTGGAGTTTAATTAAACTCCAACGTTGAATGTATTTATAACGGTTTTCGTTTTGTTGTTTGGTAAATCACGTTTATCGACTATCGATGCCTCCTCCTCAGTGACCGCCCTTCGGCAAATGACCTCACTGACTATGTCTGCAACATCTAATGAATATTTTATAAAAGTAATATTGAAGTTCAATATTATTCATTCGCTTAGTACTATTTAAGTTTAGGAAATTGTGTACATTATATCATAAAGATAATAAATTGCAATATAGGAATTGTATCAGAAAAAAAACTGGAACTATTTCAGTACTGTTCAGTTTAAATGTTTTATTTAAAACATGTCTTAAATAAAACATTTAAACTGAAATGTTTTATTTAAAAAATTTAAACGTCTTTTAAACAACATTATGAAAAACAATCTACTCATATACCAACCCATGCGTTGCAAATAATATAATTGTAACCTACAAGTGATTATATGGATAATAAATATGAATTGTGGGAATAATATCTTATTGTGAGTGTAAAATAAAGTATATTAATAACAATAAACTAAAGACATCCGACGCAGTCACGGAGCGTCGCATCATAAATCACAAGCACGCGATCTTCACTCCGACAACGGATAGCCACCAGATGGTAGGTATTATACCTACAATTACATTGACAACGTACAATTGTTCACTTACTAATACACAACAGTTTCGTGACGTGGAATATTATTGGAATTAATTAAAATTCTTTATAAATACATACGTATTAAAACATTTTTATAGCTTTAAATGAAATCATTATATTCATCAAGTGCGAATCGCATTAGTGAAAGATGTAAATGTATGTTTATATCAGCTTTTAATATCTAAAGTATTAAGACTTAATGTCTAGCTATAAAAATATATGTTTTATATAAAAGGAGTTTTAATAATTATAAAGTAAATGATTTAATCATGTTACGTTATTTAATAAAGACTTACAAAGATAAGTGACGTGGCGGTAATTGGATGTTAGCAAATTTTACATACATGTGGATTATTCCTACGTGAATTCGATCTTTTTAACAAATAATACCAAAATAATAACGTCCAAGATGAATCATTGACCCATTACGTACATCAAACGAGACAATGAACATCGCTGTATGACAAGATAATAGCTGTTATAAAAAGCAAAGCGTGCAAGCCATGCCTCTATCTCGACAAGATTTCGACCCGATTCCGACTCCATTGATAATTCAAGAAGACTTTTTATGGTTATATATTTGAAGTCAGCTGAGGAGAGTACATTTTTATTCACAAAGTATCTTAACGTTTATGTGATTAGAAAATAAAACCAACCGAATTTATTTTACCTCCAATCGTAACGACTTCTCAACTTCACTCGAATTCGAAATTATGATAAAAAAAATTTAAATTTATTAGATACTAATTGTTTTGCTTAACGTCCCAAACCCATCAATTCCAAGCTTACCTTTGTTTAAATCTAGCGACAGAAGTACTTTTAGTCACCTTTTTGATCCAACAGTAATATAAATATAGTGCCTTCTCAGAAGCTCACTTGAAAGAGCATGTAAATAATGAACATGGAACGACCAACAAAACAACAAAATAGCCAATTTTTACGCCTCATCCGACGACAGCTTAGAGATCTGTCACAAATGTATGATTAACGCGTTATTCACACATACCAAGTCGACGGCGAGCTGTTACAAGTTTATTCCATTTAAATTTAGCACGGCGCGTGCCCAGGCCGGGCGTCCCCGGGGTGAGGTGCGGGTGCGGGGTGCGGGTGCAGGGACTATGGGCGGCACCAGCTACCATCACTCAAGTGACGAAAATTGACGGAAAATGGGCGGACACAGCTTGCCGCGACGTCATCAATTACCGCGTCCCGACGGTCACCGGGCGCTCTCGCCACCAGAGACGCATACCTAATATCCTTTCCAGAGTCATTATTAACACGACACATTTACTCGCTACAAAATAGACATTACCGTTATCTAAAAATAAAAGTTTGATCTAGACGGGTCGTAGTAATGAGCAAATAGTAGGCGCACGTTCCTGCGGCTTGCAATCTTGGACGATAGCTCGAACAAGCATTATTGAGATGCAATCTAGAAGCTATCGATCGACCCATAATTCTCTACCGCATTTATTCCTGTGCAACCACTCATCAGATGAAACTCGATCCCTATTAAATAGAAGCTCAAATCTTTCCCTCTTCTTTATATTAAATGGGATTTTCTTACTTCATTATACCATTCCGTGTACATATCATTGGTTTTGTTTAAAATAAAAGGAATTATCCAGTGTAAATCTTTAACGATAATACAGGATATACTTTAAACACGTATATATTCATACAAATGAGAGTTCAGGAATGCACAGGTAGTGCGAAAGCTTGATCGATTTTGAAAATTACCCATAATTAGCACGTATCTCTGGACGAATGCGTTTTAAACAGGGAGCTCAACCACAGGCTACACGATATTCCAGTAGCGTTTACCGACTAACGGCAGACGAACGCGACCGACAGAAATTGCCGGTGGAGTTACAACGTGCCACTACGCAAATTGTAGTGCGTCAAGACTCAGAAGGATAGACTGTTGTTTGCGCATCACATCACAAATGTACTGACTGATTGCTTCAGAGCAGATACTTTGAATAAAATATATAAATGAGAACATTTAGCAAAGCTTACGCTATAATAACTTCAAAAAACTATTCACTTCATAAATTACAATATTCGCTTCTTTACTTAAAATGCCAGTCAAATTTTCACAGTTTATGAATTTAAAAATTACGCCTATTACCATAAATATGTATAAAAAATTCTAACGACATAAAATGAAATTATTACCATAGAAATAGATTCCGGCACCTTGCAGTCGATGTTGGATAATTTACTTATAGATAATATCTATAAAATAGTGGTCACGTCTCAAGCATTTGATCGTATAACGAGTGAATTTAAGGATTTTGTTGGTAATGTAATTGTGCAAGCATTATCAGGTGACCCCATATTGCGGTTACTACGAGTGGCCTGCGGCTAGCCCAGCAGGTAATCTACAGAAATAACCTATACATTAAAGCCTATAAATTAAAGCTCTTAGTTCCACTAAAACACTTGCTCTGAATTTAAGCATTTGAAAAACGTTCCCATTATGTATTCAATGTATAAAATCATATTTAACCAAAAATATGTCCATATTATCATTGTTTGAGTGGTTTATATGCTACTTATATGATAAATGCATGAATGTTTACAAAACAATTGAACGGCATATTAATAAAACTTTTCAATAATGATCTTATCAATCGAAATATGTAATACATATTTTTTGGTGATAACTTGCCCAGCGAAACTATACAAAGCCACCATCATGTGTAAATGATAAAGTCTTCTATGCGATCTAACACTTACGCGAGTATTCATTTAAATAAAACTAATATTTTCGGTTTGCGCGTAGTAACGTCTCGGTTACATTGCACCAACCGTGTTTACTGACAGAGATGTGAATGACATTCACTTCTCGTCGGAAAAATGTAGTTTATAAAAATAATAAAATACTCGTAGTAATCCGAAAATATTAGTTTCATTTAAAAGTCTTTAAGATTTGTTCTCTAGTTTCAAGATATAGAAAGTTACATGATATAATTAAATAAAATATTGCTAGTAAATAGGAGCTCGTGATTCCCAACAGTAGGAGTCTTCGATTCTAGAACATAATGAGCTACGTTCAGGGAACGAACGGAATCTTTGATGTCTCAATTAGTAACGCGAGCGGGTAATTGTGGTAATATTAATTCGCACTGCAAGGGAATGTGTGTCGTCAATTGGCCGGTTGAAGCTATTTTATCAATGCATTTTTTCTGCCATATTATTAGATAAGTCTTTATTACGTCAAAAAATATGTTGATGATATAAAATTCCAGCGATTAATCTATTAAACAAAATATATGAAAAAGTTTCCTAATTTTTAATTATGCAAAAAATTTGTCAAAATCCCCAGAACATTCACGCTTGATAGATAACGGAAATGACTCAACTTTCCACCGTATAATATATTTCACACCCAGAGAATAGAGCCTTAATAAACCAATTTCGATTAATACAACCGGAAAACCGATATTACTCGCTCATCATTACCGTATCCCCATTTAAATATTGCATAAAAGGCACGATTGTTAACGGCTTTATCGTGTGGGGTGTAAGGTTGTATGTAAAAAAATAAGTCTAACAATTTTTATTTTGCTACCGCGTGATGAATGACAGTGGTCATTCGGCCTCGCTCGGCTTACCATATGCCTGCCATTTCGGAGGGTGTTACAATAAAGCTATTGTTTGTTTTTGCGAATGAAATATTGAAATTTCCATATTCAATGTAGAAAGTAAATCTGGAAAAAGGTTTTAATTTCACATGTTTATTATTTAAATATACTAGTTTAATAAATGATCAATAGTATACAACTTATATATATAATATATAAGTATTAAAATTCAAGAATATTTTTTTCAAAAGTTCATTTATGTACGGAATATCAATATTGTTATATTTCATATCGTATGATATTGAATATTCAAATACTATACGTCAAACAAAGAAAGTTTGTGATAACGTTTTTGTATAATACTCCATCATATCATTTGATATGGCTAAACATTTCATATAACCTACAATATAAAAGTAGTTAACTAGTATAATTACGAAGCAATTAATACCTTTGACATGTCCAAACGAAGCTTATTTGAGGTGCTGTTTTATTAGAAATTTAAAACATCCCATCGATTAAATATACAACTTTTCCAAGCGACGCAGTACGCCTATTAAATACTAGTGTAAGTTGATATTTAAATGGAAAATGGTCTATAATTAGAAACTATAATACCACCGAATAAATGGGGCAAAGGACTTAATGACACTGCTATATTTAATTACAAACAATTATATGGGAAAAGGTGTTCGTTTTCACGCGTCGAACGCGTTGTATTGGATGTCTTGTAATTATAATTGCAAAATTATTTAATTAATTGTACCAATTATCATAACAAAACTATACAATTCCATAGAGTTTATAACATAAGACGATAACAGTCCATAAAGTACATTTCGACTTCGAAATCAACAGCAGATATAAGTCGACAATAAATCATAGAATGTAGGTTGTAATTAAAATCACGAAGCAGTAAGATTTGGGAAGCTGGTCAGTAATTAATTTCTCCGTTTCTTTAGATGAATAGCCGATGATTAGATGTGAGGAGAGCAAGGATCTTGGACGCAGATGTTTAACTTATAATTACATATTCTAAAAATTAATGATCTTTTCACGAGACGTAAAAAAATATATATAAAAAATTATAATTACATAAATTGCTATCATTGCGGCGTATTCAAAACGAGCTATCAAAATGCAAAACTGTCCATGTTAATTTAATATGAACTGAGAATTTAAACATTTTTAAAAATCATAAAATATACACGAGATGAGAAAATCATCGCGGACCGTATAAATCTGATCGAAGCCAGAATGGATTACTAAATCCTCCTATAATTTCAGCATTAATCTTAAACAACGGCTATAAATCATTGTTATAAAATTGTTTTTTCGCGCGTCCTTATGAAAGTGATTATACGAAAATTATAATAATTGTGCACATCATAATAACGTGATGTAATATAAGCCCATGGATGTATGGTGGTCAATTTGAATTTATGTAAAATATCGCGCTATAAATTTGATGTTTTATGACTTGTGGCGTCGGCGCGATATCTCTGTTTAGGATCGAGCTTTACGTAGCGATTATTTTAGAATAACTAAAATCGACCTTGACAGTTGGTCAAAGCAAATTTGGACGTATTAAAATCAATACCTCATTTATTTTTCATACAAATTTTACAACGTACAGAAAATTCTTTAATTCTTACACAATATAAGTCTCGTAGTATCTTTAGTATTCCTTGAAGCCAAAAAGCAATCCGTCATAATAATTTAGATAGAAATAATAAGGCGATCATGTAAAGACAATTAATTCGAACACCACTCGCAATCAAATCATCCAACATAGGTAACTTGTACGTGTTTACACGCGATATATACCAATCGGATGATTTCCAATACTTATTTCTATACGTTTTTAATAAACACGACTCAGTCACGTCGAGTAAAGACCAGATAATACATAATCTTGACATAGATCCACGGACAAAGTAAAATATTCGTAGTATGATAATGGTTGATTCTTGACATATTTTATATAATGCGGGCCCGAGGCGGACCGACCGACACTATGTCTAATAAATTTATGGACCTTCATTTTAATGTTGATCGGCGTTCGAAATTATAATCGTCGCGCTTGGGGCGCGGCGCGTGAGCCGACTTCCCCAGCTAGGGTTACCATATATCAACACTCACTTTAGGTTCACATATAATGTACCTACAAGTCATACTATCAAGGTTTCCTTATACCTACAAAGGTCAATTAACTATACGTAGATCAACTCTCCAATGTCAACAGAACGTTTGTTTGTCGTTACAAAACTCAAAACGACGTCGATATAACGAAAAAAACAACGAAACCAATATGTAGATATAGAGTTAGAAGATTCATGTTTGAAGAGTGTTTTATATACTCACGTTATATGAAGAATTTATAATTGAATCACAATATGTAGAAGCTATTTGTGAGAAATTTATCTTACTTAAATACTAGCTTTTTATATAGCTAAGCTAAAGTGGCTATAAATCAAAGTGAACGCGGCAAGTGAACCTTTTTATTAAACTGTAACGCCACGTGCGCTCAAAGCATTGACAGTCACAAAAAGTAAACTGCCATTTTATGGAAATAGAACGATATATCTAGAAAATAAAGCATGTTCAACGACAAAGCGACTTGTTCAGGAAATGGAACACTCCAAAGGGTAGGGGACATCTTTTTATCTGTTTGCACAATAATAGAATAGGATGGAAAAATTTTTGCTTAACGCAACTCACAAACTGTGAACATTGCACTTTAACGGTAATATTTCTTTAAAGATATTTTTATACGACGAAATTATTACGTCTCAATTTCTTATGTTTTTTTTTTTTTAAATATCGTATACTACAAGCAAGATATCAAGAAAATACAAAAATAACACTCCACCTGTCTCTGGCCAGTAATTTTTTATATACATATTGATTAACCATCCTGAGGGTAATTTAAAATTTGCATGTGTTTGCAGCTCTTTTGTCAACATGAAGACTGAACATGAAATATTATAATTAAATTATATGAACATATAAAAAATTGCGATGTCTAAATTATATTTTAAAAATAACACTGATATTTCATGTTTTGTTTACTCCTTAATGAACTCTAAAAATCTGAACAATTAAAAAATATACCGTCAAAAATATAAAAAAAACAATATTTTTGGAATAACATAAATATAAATTTCTTTAATACAATTATAAGCTAATCATACAAATGGCCTAATTTGTAATAATTTTCTCATATCTTAAACAGTTAGCGTGAACCACCTTCAATAAAATAAAACATTTTTCTACTGAAGTTCTCATGTTAAAATGAAATAAAAAACGAAACAATTATTTTCATAAGAATAAAGTCCGTCAATTACAGAGAAAGGCTTTTGAAAAATAAACGACTGTAGATATTACTTCAAGTATTGATTCACTAGTAGTAGTCGCCAACATTGCCTGAGTAAAAGACAAACAGATTCCGAACATCTTATTTATAATAGGTATAAGTACAATTATTTTTATAAGTACATGAAACTAAAGAATTCAATCAAATAAATCTAACCCTGAAACTCCTAGAAAATCAAAAATAACGTTTTACTATTGAATGATAATTTTAATAAATCCGCTTTATTTCCTAAAAAAATAATTGTCTTGCCTGAAATATGTTCATATATAAAACAAAACTCGTATCCAAAAAGAACAAAATTGATCTAAAATCAATGAATATGTCATTAACTGTTAAAAAGTTTTGTTTTATTATTTCTTAGCCAATATAAAAAATATTGTTTTATTGAACCCAACTTAAAATTAGGTACACTTAGGTCGCCAAAAAAAAATACTGTTTTTAATTACCAAAATTTTTTAAATAAAATCTCATGGAAACAGAATTCATTAACACGTATGTGTTTTTCATGTTATTCAACTTATTTAAACTAGTATCAAACTTATTACCTATATAGGTCCAAAATCGAGGTTAACGTTCAGTAGGTGTTAGACAATGTTTCTCAAAGTTCACCATAAATATGTTAGTAGCATTGTTATCTATATTGCAATCTCAGATTTAATAAGCGAATTAATTGCCCCGTTGGCTGGCATTGGCAATATAATTGCTCCGACTGGTTTGGTTCCCACTTTAATATTTTATATCAAAACATACTCTACTATAGGCACAATGAACGTATTAAAATCATTTCTAAATATACAAATAATATGTATATACTTCAATATTATGGTTTAGCCTAACTTCGAGAACGTTGCTTTAAATTTCCTTATCAGTATATATTTCCCTAGTTCGTTAGTAACTGATAAAAATGCGACTACATTTTTTTTATATAATACCTTATATCAACTTGAGAATTAGTATTTACATACCCAACCATGAAACAAGATATAAAGGTTAAACCTATTAGAAAAAAAATTGTATAATTTAATACAACGACCACAAACATTTAGCTTGTGGTTACCATGAATTTATTATCACCATAATAATATTTGTTTCTAAATGTCAAAGATATAAAACATGCGCATTCGCTACTCAACGTTTACGCTATTAATGCAAAATAACAGCAATTTATAGGACACAGGCGTTTGACGTGTCCGTACGTACATACGCCAGCCTCAGCAAAGGCGACGGAAGCCTGTCACAAGCTCAATTATAGTACCGAGAATCGGCATTAGTTCGTCTTGAACTATTTATGTAAAATAAGAGCAAACTCACGTACGGGGAAACGTCGATTGCACGCATCTCTCATTAAGCACTTTAGAGCAATTTGACGGACAGAAAAACTCTGACAAGACTTACAACATCGCGTGGTCAATTAAAATGTTGGCTCGCTGACCGGCGGACAACGGTATCGGAGGCAACTGGACTTGCAATTGGCTGTATCCTGCTATCTAAATAATTGTTGAAGGATATTGATCTATCTTTAATAATAATGAAAGTGTCGTTTCTTGTAGCATCATATTACTCTACGGCTTAATTAATATAAACAACCAGTGGAACCTTTCACGTGAGAATTTTCATTATACACATCCGTGACAAGTTATTTGAATAACCAGCTAGTGTTTGATATTTTAATGAATTTCCCATCATCAGCTATATACTACTTATAACCGTTATGAATAGAAGTTTTCTTACAAAGTTTCTCAGTTAGTCTCAAAAACCAACCAATATAGGTAATGTGTATTTACATAGTCTTGTTAATTTGAACCAGTGACGTGGTATGGTTTGAAAAAATCATTTTAAAAAAATATTTGAATTTTCAGAAGTCTATGTACCTATTTATTATGTTATGATTACACTTAAGTAGAATTAGTAGACCAGGTCCATTTGCCATTCTAAAATAGATCTTAGTGGATATATAATTAGACTTTCATTTCACAAACAATTTCATCATGATTTGTGAAACTATGAGATCGATAATTTTATAATTTTGTGATTGTGTAACTTTTTTTTTTGTCATAACTCAAGTATGCTCTCATTAGTTTTAATTTCAATTAAAAAAAGATTGAGGAAACTTGTAAATTGGCTCTATAGAATTGGCATAACTTTTATTGAAAAGAATACAGAATAATCATAATTGTTTCGACGAAATAATTGAAGAGTCATTCGGACTAAAAAGCGATATAAAAAAAAGTCTCGTGCCGCTTTAGGCTGGAATTATAAGCAAAACTTTTTGAATTACCAAACTCGTCTAGTAATAATAAATATTTAAAAAAAAAATCTACGTATGTCCTCTGTGATTCCTGAAAACATTAATTGTATATAAGTATATAAAACTTTTCTAGAGTTCTCTATCTAAAAGTCAGTATAGAAAATAAATGTTCATTTAATCTGAAAGTTTTTATTTTCAGTCTAGAGACATCCTTGCACGAAGCTAAAGCAAAAAAAATACATATTAAATTTTTCTATAATTTAAAAAAGCATCTCTATAAAATCTGAAGGAATATAAAATTATAATTTAGACCATCGTATCACGATCTCAGTGGCCTTTTATTTACGATAGTCACTCTGGTAGCTGCATTACTAAACAAATATTCTCCATTTCCATTACACCTGGAGCACGGTTCGTCGTGACTTGTAAACGCGGACAGCGCCTACGCATCGCCTCAAAACAAGCTTAGTTACACGTAAAGTGGGAAAACAGCGTCAAATCTTATATTAGTAAGTGTTATTGAAGTAGCAATTGTATTACATATATGTATATCAATATATATTTTTATTCATATTTTTTTGTTATCTTAAACGCTCTCAAAACTGCATCATTAAGTGACAAAATCAATTTCATAAAATAATAAGACGTACAGTTATAGCGAGAACCATTTTATTGTGTAAATATATCAAGCGTAATATAATCCAAATCTCAACGTCCACACAGACTTTATTACGTAAACATAGTTATAAAACATATTATAATTTAAAACAAAGCATTTTACTAATTTTAAGTTGATCTAATTGCGCCGTCGGACGTCCATCAATCACATGAACGGAGAAACAACGAAAACACTGTTAGTTTTGCCGCCGAATTATTAATTACATTCCCACAAAAAACTCACACAGAACGCCGAAACGCATAAATTTCTTCCTTTTTCATCGCACAAAAGAGCCGAGCTCTCCACAATACAACACTAAATAGATTAGCCGCGCCCGACACGGCCGTCGCGGCATAATTTTTGGCGCCAGTAGTCCTGCCTCTAGATTAAACTAATATGAAAAGGAAATTGAGTAGAAAATGGATGAAGGTTCTATGTGTCATTAAGAATTTGTTACGGACCTGAGAGACGCTTCGACCTTTATTTATTTGACTTCAACTAATTGAATTAGCATTTCGGTAGTTTTTACGAGCTGCTAGTAATGTTCGGAACTAACTTTAATGGGTAATTTGTGTAATAACAATAACATTTAAGTCACAAAATATTGCTTTACCTGTGTTATGTGATGGTTCCGGGTGAGGTGAACATTAATGTGAGAAGTTCCGAATAAAAAATCTTATTTGAGATGACCATTATGTAGAAATTATTAAGAAGAAGTTAATTTTAGGTTTTATTTGTATTTGTATTTATAATAATGTGTTTTATATAATAAATGTGTTTTTAATTTAATCTTATGTAACATACATATGTTTATCAAGTGATAGTAATGTTTTATTTAACATGTTTTGATCAAAATGTTTTATTACGGTGATTCCGTCGGGTCCGTTCGGCCCGGCCTATGAATAGTAATAGAGGTTAGAGCTCGGGGGAACAGCCTCAGCGCCGCTTATGGTGCGTACTAAATCGACAATACCCCAAAGCAATTTGTGACTAACAGCGCGATTCATGAAGTCACCTATTTCGCTCAGATTTGTTTTGGATGTAAACTAAATGAACTGTGAAATAATGCCTCACTAAGTAACAGATGAATCTTCATATAACTATATGATGTATATGTAACTAACAATAAGTCGTGATCTATAAAACCTAGCTCATGCTTGATATATATCAGATTGTTTCTATCTGTCATAAGAGTGAGGAGCGTGGGTCGAGTTCGGGACTCACATTCATGAGTAGGTCCGGTGAGGAAGAGCCTTTCCCGCTCATGTCGCTGGTCCTGGAGGCATGACACTCACTCACAACACTCGCGAGGCGCAGGCGGCGCGGGCGTGCGTGCGCCGAGCGACGACTGCCGTACACAGACCCCCACCGCTATTCCCCACCGCTACCGGCTGCCTCATTTCTCACTATAATTTGCGTGCTCGTTTTTTACCATCATTACCTCGTTTTGTTTTACGTATTATCGAGTGCATCCCGCTCGCACGGCCGCCATGCGCGGTGAGCGCCGCCCAGATAATAGCCACGCGCAATTAGAGCCGGCGAGCGAGCGACTCCTTCCTAAGTACGCATAGCGACATCTCGTGACGAGAGGCGGCGTCTTAGAAAGCGTACCATATTAAAACATTTTATCTGAAATGGTGTTGCTTAAATCATACATTTTAAATGCCAGTACATTATATACATTAACATAATTAGCCACAGCTGTAAATATAATTGCGCCAGTAGTGTTATTCACTTTATTGTAGTTTAAATTGAACAATATACTGTTTAGCTACATAATTATTATATTTTATTAATCTTTACGCTAGGAATGAAACTATAAAAACAATAATAAAATTAGTATATCGTAGGAATTATCAGCACATTATATAATATTAGTGGTTTAAGTTAAATTGTTTTAAATTAATCTTCAAGATAATATTTCGTAGAACTTCGTAGCCGATTCGTAGATTAATAAAATAAGAAGCTAATATTTTTAATATATGTATGATTATTGATGAAAAACTTTTTTGTTACTAAGACTTATCATGATTAAAACATAACATATAACTTAAAATATGATATTAAATTTAATAAAAGTTTGTGACTTTATTTTTGGGCTCTATATTTTCTGATCGTTTATAATGAAAATAAAATATATCGTATATATGATATATTTATTGCTGGTTACTTTTTATGTTATATTTTATTTTTAGATACAAAAACACTTCAGAATAACGACTTTTAAAATTGAATCGTTATATACTTATAAATTACGTTGATTGAAATAATTACAAAGAATAAATATTTGCTAGGTAATATTCGTTTTATAGGGACTTTACAAAAACAAGACACTTGTTATTGGTAAAATTACAACATTTTATTTAAAAAAAAAAACACTACAATATAATATAATATCATCACATTCCTATGTATATGGTAACATAATTTACAGAAAATACAAGAAATAAAAAGTAAAACGAGCATTCACATATCCAAGGCAATATTTAAGGCACATGCATAAAATCGTACATTACATATTATGATTTATAAATCACTGTCCAATGGCCACTGGTGGTTGAAAATTATAATGTCCTTGAAAAACATAGTTATCCTTTGAAGCGCACTGGTATGTTAGATGTGAAGGATATTGTTGGTAGAAACGAGGGTCTCTGGAGTATAATGAGTCCTGACGAACCTCCGGGTACCAACCACTGCTGTAAGCCACATTTCCATTAGCGAACACACCACTACTATTGTAACTCGCTGGAGCACCTGACATTACATGAGGGGCTACTGTTGCGTAATTTAAAATCTGCTTCTGACCCTCGTTTAATGTTGGCACTGTCCCGTAGTTTGAACTACCGATTGAAGCTACAGATGGAGGTGTTAGTTCAGTTATCTGTCTTTGTTCTGGTTTTTCATCATTAGACTTAACGATCGATTCCTTTTCATCGTCCTTAGCCTTTTTCGTCTTCCTCGATACATTCGCGTGTGTCTTCACATGTTTCGCGAGATGATCGGAACGCATGAAACGTTTCGTACACAACTGGCAAGCAAATCTTTTCTCACCAGTATGAGTGCGAAGATGACGCTGTAGTTCATCGGAACGGGTGAATCTCTTTCCACAAAACAACCAGTTGCACACGAAAGGTCTCTCTCCAGTATGCCAGCGGAGATGGGCTTTTAGATGAGATGTTTTTCCATAAACTTTCCCGCATCCAGGAACGTGACACACATGCTCTCTCTTCGCGCCATCCTTGCCATAGTTAGGTCCAAATCCAGCTGCTTCTGTAAGGCAGTTAGGACAGCGGCATTTCGCGCAACGCCGTTGAATTTCCCTTGCGTCTTCGGTGGTTGATGTAGTTGGTGGCCAATATGATGGATACTGAGGGTATGGGGGCAGCTCCTCTCCAACTGGTGCCACACCAAGCACCAGAAGAAGCACTGCTGCACGATGATAAATCCGATGCCGGTGACAGAGCATCACTTCGCCCGTAACCACAACCGTAACCACTCATTACATTCATCACCTGCAATTAATAAAATAATTATAACAACTGAAAACACTCGTTTACTTCTTATTAAATAGAAGATTTTATTTTTATTTTAAATCAATTTACGGAAAAAAAATTCAACCGCTAATTGCTATTTGCTATGAAGCGTCAAATAATATAGGAGGGCGGACTCCAACGGACCTGTTGCGCGGGCGGATCCACGTATTGCATTTCCGGTAACGGTCGAGCGTGGTGACAACGTAACGCAAAGAGCCTTCAACTGGATAATTACAGGGCGGCGCACCGTTCGCGTCGAGACGTTTTTAATAACTGGCTTCGGATAGTCGTAACGAGCGGTTGTCACCTCGCCCCGAACCCCCCTCGGGCTGCGCACGCGCACCCCTGCCCCAGCCTCCTCAGCGCAGCCTCCGCCACACCCCACCCCGCCCGTGAATTATGATCTTATACGATTCAAAAACTTGTCGACGGAAAATCTATTCGCGTGTATCAAAATTCCGTCTATCAAGTACTTCGATTTTACGTAATTATAAATATTATGAAAAAGTATCTTTATTTTTTTGTGTAAGACTGTAATGAACTAAGTAATATTATAAACATTTTACATATTACCACGTTATAACTAAATAAATTAGATAGAAGATTATAATCAAATCTTTTAAAAAAATACAATTAATTTAAAACAAAAGTAGAAACTTTCTTGTTCCAAATTCATTTTCCCACGCGCCTCTCAGCCGATGCCGCTCCTAAACTCACATCTAGCTGCACACTAATCGAATAGTTATTATTTTTCCGTTTAAATCTCTCGGACGCTTAATGTTTTTAATTTTTTCTCTATTTCGGCCGGCAGTTCGCGGCGCAGACGCATGATTTATGCATATTCGAACGAAGGCAAACCTTTAATTACACGTTGTTAAAATATAGCAGTTTGTTAAATCGTTATCTTGCTTTTGTTTTAAAGATGACCGCTCTCCTTTAGGGATCAAAATATTCTTTTTATTCTCCACATAGACATTTTTAATAAACAAATCCACATAGACATTTTTAACACGATTTTCTTTATATCAATATAATATATGAAGGAATTAAAAAGAAAATCTTTCAACATAATATATTAATATTTTATTAGGTATCTTTCATTTAATTTGTATCCAGATTATGGAAACTGGGATCCTTAAATTTAAACACATAAAAATTTTTAAATAACATTAAAATATTGGAACTTCTTTGACTTTATACAGTTAAAATGATAGTAGTAGGTAATTATTTTCCCAAAAGCAACTAGCTACTGTTAACACGAAAACGTACAAAAGCCAGCACCCTATGGTTACAATTATTACAATTGCAATAACCTGTCGACATGTTTACGACTGGATAGAACAATAGGTTTTACTCAAAAGACAAGTTACCCATTCAATATACTTACATCGCTGCAAAAGCGCTAAACAATGTTCCATGTATTTTTTTAATAGCTTTAAAGCGCTGGATGAACTGAGAAGTTACAGCAAAAAGTCTTGTAAGCTACTGTATTGCTCCATGGCAGTTCTAGTGAGTGACAATGGCTTCAAAGAGTGGACAATACCGACTACTAATGCGCTATGATCGTTCTCCTCACGACATAAATCTTAAGGGCTACTGTGTTTTTGTGAACAATGTCCGAAAGAAAAAAGTCTCTGTGTCCCAAAAGGACCGAATATGTCGGCTATTTTTATTCCCAAAATAATATATAACATCCTTGTAATAGACTCTTAAATTTATTTTTGTATAAAAGTATGTTAATTTTTCAAAATACCTACTTCTTTTTCATGATTTCGAAAGGAGATAGTACGAATTCCGACTGTCAATATTAGTGAAAAGCCACGTGGTCGTTTTAATAAATCAATCGAACTGGCAAAGTATATCATAAGTCCAATAAATCTGTAATATATCTGAAAAACGGCAAACTTTCTGTCGGATATTATACTCTAATTACTGGTTTCATGTATCGTGGGCGTGTAATTGGTTCGATCGTACGCAGTCCTTCACTTCCTGTCTTTTGGCGGACCTTCAATGCATTGTGGCGATTTACAAAATACCGACATGGTGTCGAGTTGCATCCATTGATATAACTCATGAGAGCACCCACTCATTCAACTTTCAGACCTTTTATTACGTTAGGATTTAGGTATGTAATAAAACAAGAACATCGATGGTAACAAAACCTCTTGATATTCTTATACATGTATATAAACAAGTGGAATTATATATAGGTATGTAGTTTTGGAAGAAACCTACTATGTAGGTATATCTATTAAAATTTCTAAGTACTATTTCTTAGTCACTTGACTCATGTCCAATGTCCAAAATAAATGTTGCGATATCTTAACCACCATTTTTACAATCACTAGGTCGTAATATATGACGAAATCACGGATATGATTTAGACTTGTAATATTATACCTAAACTGAAATTATTTAAGAGGCCATGGACTACTTGAACCTAATAATTTCTGATTTCATTACAGAACTACGTATTATTCACAACCTTTACATATATAAGAATAAACCATTATTTTAATAAATTCAATAAATTATTATTCGATTAATTTAATAATGAATGGAATCATACTTTGTTAATGGAGGAAGAAAAAAAAATCAATAAAAGAAGATATCTCAAATGTTACAAAGGAGATTCGATTACGCATAAGTTCTTTATTGCTTTGTATCAAAAACGGACGCAAATGTTATCTGATCGGAATTCCGCTCAGCTTAGTTAATCCTTAAAGGAGTGAAGATCGGTTTGTTATTATTGTCAGAAGTGTAACCAGATCACGTCAAGTACCTGTTGCTTACAATGCACAGGTTCGCACAGAGATGTCCCTTGTCAGTCTTTACAAAATGACTATCCATTGTTATACAGTAAAAAGTAGCAAAGGAACATTCACGTTAAACATAAAGTTTTTGACGCCGTCGTATTTTATAACAGCTGGCTTAATTCACACGAATCGAATAAATTCATTTTTATTTACATAAAAAAATATTAAGCAAAGGAATAAGAAACGTCAGCCGAGGTTATTTTTTATTTTTTTCTTTTTTTGCCTACTATCACTTTATGCAATATAGTTTAATAAAATAAATAAAAAATATATGATAGTCTCTCCTCTAAGGATATGTTAGAATCATTACCAAACAATAATAAGTACCTAGTTCACCTTATTCATTTATTAAAACGTATACCTACCTATGAGTACAACTTAAGTGATTAAATCTTCCTTAACCACAACTTCTTGTGTTTAAAATATTTATTTTCAAATTAACCTCGAAGACCACTTATTAAGCTTCTTTATCAAATTTTCTGAATATTATGTGCAAAATAATATTTGCAAAATTATAGACGAACATTCAACTTCGACAAATGTTAATTAACGTTATGATTTAAAATAAATAACTAATAAATGACCTTACGTAATTATTTACACTTACATATATATCTGATATGGGAGCGTTCAAGTATTACGTAACGCAATTTTGGGGGATGGGGGGGTCTCGTAAAACGTTACGATGCGTTACAGGGGCGGGAGGGGGTGTCTCTTACAAAACGTTACGTAGCATTGTTTCCAAAAAAATATATTAATAAAAACCCACAAACTGGCAACTCTTTTCATATACGTTACATTGTTGACCAGATTGTATTAGTCTGGTCGATATTTTTATTTGTTACTAGAAGACCTGGCGAACTTCGTATCGCCCTATAATCAAGAAATATCTATTAAGTTTTTTTATTTATATTTTTGGAGTTTACCTGTAAGCCATAAATCTCTGTGTTTTGAAGTGTGACAGAATCATTGACATTTTAGTTAGTTGTCAAATCTAATGTCAAAAAAAAATGTTTGTATGGGAAATAGAAAAAGGCTGTTTTTATGGTTTTCCCAGTAATGAATCAATTTTTTTCAGCTTTTATACCTTCCCTGAACCTCCACAAACATTTCAAGACTAAGATAAGATAAATCCGTTCAGCTGTTCTCGAGTTTTAGCGAGACTAAGGAACAGCAATCCATTTTTATATATATATAGAAGATTCCAAGTTTGCAAACGTGTTAATTGATATTTTACGGGGAATACCTAGATTGCATTGTAAGTCTTTTGATGAAATTGATCACTTGAGTGTTACGTAACGTTTTGAGAAGGGGGGGGGGGGGGGGGGGGGGGGAAAAAAAACGTTACTGTGCGTTACGACGGGGGAAGGGGGGGTCAAAAATCTTCGAAAATTGCGTTACGTAATACTTGAACGCTCCCTATAGGAACATTTTGTAATTACATATAAACTTTCATAAGACATTTCACGAGCGTCTGAATATTTGGAACATCGAAATTTGTTATTCTCACTTCTTAAGTATTGAAACTATGACGTTTTTCAGAACTTATTAACGAAGAAGTTATTTAACCATACACGAAGGAATTATTAGTGAACCCTTTACCTAACTTCTAATGTCATCAATAAGTCGACAAATCTACCTAAATTATAGTATGAATTAGGAATTATAACTTAACAATCTACACGTACACTTATGGATACTTAAAATATTTTCCGTCTCACACACACCTATATTTGTATAATAATTCATTGGAACATTTTCGAGAATTGTCTTATTGATACATTAACAGCAATTAAGTACATATATCCTTTCAAAATATGAAATAAAGTTCAAAGCAAGCGAATAGTTATGCAAAAAAATAGAACGTAGTAACATTTCTGCGGAGCTGAAGCACCCCGGGGCGCAGCGGCGGTCATAAAAGACCGCTCTTTCTAGAGAGTGACAGCCGAAACTGCCCTAAACGTCTAAAAACTTATGTCTGGCAGTTTGTTACGAAAACAAGTCTCCTTGAACCGATATGAATTATAAATGACACATGTGAAACATTTCAGACCTATAACAATTTCACTTGATTTTTACTCAATATAACTATATAAAGCACAAAGAAATCAATAATATTTTATACAAAATAATTTTGTAGAGGAATCGTTTGGAATACTTAAGTTGAAGTTTAATATTGAAAAAATCGATTCTTCCTGTTGCAGACGAAAATACATTGAATAACATTTGTTCGTAAAATAATTAATTGTTTTCATTTATAGGTAGCCCATGATATTAAAAATAAAATATGGCTAGTTTCTAGTATAAAAATTATCTACTAATAAATCCTTTTGTTAGGTGCTTTAAGAACTTCAAACCTCATTTCAGTAAGCCTTGTAAAGTTTTAAAACGAAAACATACCTAATATAACAGTATGCGTTTGTATGCGTTTTGCCCGTGATCATGGTCGCTGAAAAGTAATCGTAACGTGGAGAACATTTACAAAGGCAAAAAATATTTAAAAAAACTAGTAGTTATCCGAAAAATTTCGTTTCATTGAAATAAGTACACGAGTCTCATGAATAAAATTTCAAAATATAATGCTTTTTACAATAAATCTCAGAAAATGCGATATTCAACAATTTTATTCAGTTTTCATTGTTTTTACTTTTCTTGATATCAAATTTCAATGTACGTACTTAAAGTTATAAATCATCCCAAAGTAGCTATTATAGAATGTGGGTACATCTATACGATATCTGGTTTAGGGATATTTTAAACATAAATATTAAGTTAGTTCTCTCATATTACTGAAGAAACTGCTACTATTAATAACTAGGGCACTAAAAACCATCATATCAAAATAATATACACTGTTTATGCTTCCCGCCTTAATCGATTTGTTTCAGAATCTAATTTCGTGCAAACATTTAGAACAAAGACGAAAGTGAAAGGAATTATATCCTAAAAATCAATACGTACACCAACTACTTACTTAAAAAAATAAATATATACATCGTAAATACATTTTGTTAAATAAATATGGAAAAGAAAAAAAGCCACTGTAATAAAAGTAAAATATTATGTAAAACTGTTAATTGTCAATTATTACCTGTACATTTTTTAAATATATATGCATTTAAAAAAAAAACAGAAATCATTTACACTTTATACTATGGAATCCCGACATAAACAGGTACTAATAAATCAACTTAAATCCGCTAGATGTCACTACGGAAATAAAAATACAAACTAGAGATTAATAGTATTTATTATACACGTCACAAAATATACATTTTGTACAGTAAATTTATCATACAATATTACTCAACTAGTTTAATGTTTGATGAAATCATAATTTTTATTTTATCCTCTTAATATCAGTATTTAATTAATAACTTCAACTCAGTAGTTAAATGATAATATTATTCATAGACTACATGTAATGACTAAACGTAGTGACTGGCTTGTTTAGTTATTTAAGGAATGGATACTCGTAAAAGCTATATTAGTTGGTCCTAAAAACTAACTGAAAAGAAGTAAGTATACTGATAAGTTTTCTCATAATAAGAAGTTAACATTACAACATTAACAGAAACTTTTGAAGTAAATATTACTGAGGATTAATTTTAAAGGATATTAATGTATGGACCAAACTTCTCTCAACCTCAGTTAGTATGTCAGCAATTTTTTTTAAAATGATAATATCAAAATTTGTCAATAGTAAGTTTTATGACAACAATGTGCATTGTTGATGTCTTGATGGGTTTGCTAGATCTAAACATATGTAAGCAAACATAGATAAGTAGTTTTTTAATTAAATTTCATTAGGGAACAATAAATATAAAAATATAAGACCTCCATTGAATTTTAATAATAGTTTTATCTGAAGTATTCTCTGAATAACTAACTGTCCAATTATAAGATTAAAAAAATATAAATGTTGTGTAATAAACAACAATATAATTATCATTACAATTTAATTTTTCAAAATGTTCACAAAACTTCATTTCTATCCCTCTACGAAGTTCGAATTCAAATATGTATGTAGTATTAAATAATAATTCAGAACATATGTTTTGTTACAGACCAAAAATAAGGATTTAAAGCAATTGAAGACCAATTACTATAGTTGTTATGTGATAAGAAAAAATATATATATTATAAAAATTGACACATAAAATAATCATTTGCTAGTTTTATTTATTAAAATTTAAACCAGTTTCAAACTACTGGATAGAACTATATTAACACTAATTAATTTAAAAGAATCAGAAAAGTACTATGACACTATAATTTGATTATATAATTTTAAAAATAAAAGAAACATAATTTGAGCAGCCTATATTATAAAAACATTTAATTGCTGAAAAAAAATATATAAGTATGATCTATGAATGAGATTTAGAAAGAAACATAAATAAATGATTATAAATAACTAATGCAATATTGGTAAGCCACAGACCGTAGCTACATAATACAATGTGTTAGAGAAATATCTGAAGTAATTATATATAAAATAAATGTAACATATCCCACAGATATTATATATATATTAAAATTACCTCAATTAAATAGCACTTCACACTATATTATAATTTAATGAAAGTATATTAGAACAAGTAATAAAAAAAATAGTTCAATATCATTTTTACTGTGGTGTATTCAAGGAAATGACTAATCTTGTAAAGAAGTTACAAATAATCTCTTGTTGATTTGGATAAGAAATATATATATTCGAAAATCATGGAAGCCAGTCCATATTATCTCAAAACAACTCGTGAACTTCTTGGACAGTTAATATTGTAATTAAGTATCTAAATAGTTTCACTAATACACATAAAATATCTTATATTAAAAATATAAATAGTATACATTAATGGCGCTAAGGCAACTCCAATCAAACACCTTGCTTATTGAAAAAATGTACAACTAAATCATTCATTTAGTTACTTAAATCCAGTTTATCTCCTAGTTAATTATTCAAAAGCAATTTTAGAAATTATTTCTTCATAAGATTCAAAATTAATTAATCATCAAGTTTTTGAAATTTAATAAATACTTGACCTTATTTGAGTGTACAAGTTCTACAATTACTGTAATTTCATATAATTCAATTTCTTTTATGTACAAAATATAATTATAATACGGATTTATATATGAAACAACTATGTATGGGTGCCAATTGAAAAATATCAAAGTATCAACTGTGTGCAATAATTAAATAATAAGATGTGTTATGAAATAATATTTAATTAAACCTAATTTATAACTCATCTCTTAGTAGAGTGTATCTGTTCTTAGATGGCGCTAGTTTCTTAAATGTAGACTCGGGAGGTGTGGTTACTTTGATATCATTGTCACTCGCAGGAGCTTCGGTACCATAGTGGAATTCCCTGGAAAATATAAGAAACACATAAATACTTATTTAAAAGAAATTAAGATAATATTGTTCACTATTTTTCTTAGCTATTAAATTATACGACAAAAGTAATTTAAAAACTCTCGGCTGCCCGTGATCACGGTTGCTGTAAAGTAACCGAAACGTCGGGAGTGTGTAGTTTATAGTCAAAAATAAAATATCGCGTAGTGAATCCGAAAATGTTAGTTTCATTTAAAAACTATGTATAAGCAATTTACCTTGAAATTTAACAATATTCATGAATACAGAGATAAAATTACGATTATATATTTTTTTTGTACACAAAATTGCTAATCATATAAAATAAAATTTACATGGCTATCAAAATTGTGATACCAACCTGTGTAATTTTCCTGAATACAAATCTTGTAAGAACTGTTTGAGTTTTCCCGGCTTTTCCATATCACTGTATTTGGGAAACAGATACATGTGCCTGAATGAATCTATAGCAATCAAAGGCAGATCGCTCACAGACTTCCCGAGGTGATGAAGAGGATGTTCAAAACGAACACCATCAGCAGTCAAAAAGTTAATGTTTTCTAAAATATAATAAACTTATTAATAAATCTTATCATAGATAATTCACAAACAAATATCGCCTTAAAATATTCAACAATAACTTGATTGGCAATTTACATTTTAACAAGGAAGTGGAGTTTTCGATTTAAATTAATGATTTTTCCATTCAAATATCTGAATATAATTATGGTTAAATAGTGTGAAGTATGAGTTCATATAAATGAGTTAAATACGCGAGTAATATTTCATATACATTTTAATAATTATATAATATATAATGATACTTTTTGCTAATACTTTGTGTCACTTTCATCTGTACATCCCTTTGTCAATGTCACAAAAATTCCACTAATTATTTTTTAATATCACAAAGAATTACTATTTCAATATAACAAATTATTCTAACTCTGAAAATTGCAATATCTATATATTTAAAAAGGTATATTTTCCCATACATATCACTAATGAGTAAATGAACTCACGTTTTTCCGATTCCAATTCATTCATAATAATTTCTTTGTATTTCTTAACACTCTCAGTGTCGGATGGGTGATGGAACAAGATGAGGAACGGCAGTCCTTCTTCTGTTAGTTCTTCAGCATTTTCAAATGTTATTTCACGTACAATCGGTATACACTTCTGTTGTACCCAAGTGTATAGCTCATCAAAGTTGAGCATAGAACCGTGATAGGTTTCATCGGGTTCAATGGAGGTTCTCTTATCAGTCCTGAATACAATGATCGGCTGACCTGGAAATTATCATCAATAAAAATCACTACATTAAAAGTTGATTAAATCAAATTTATCTATACATTAAAGGAAAAAGTCAATAAGTATCTTAATTAATTTGTCAATCTTAACTATATTGCTAATTGGCAGCTTATATTGGTCATTAAAATGCCATTTCCGTCAATAATTCATTAAACTAAAATTCTTAATTGAACATTTCACTTATAATCTTTCTTTTTATATATAAATCTTATAAAAATATACCCGGAGGATGCATCTGTTGGGAGGCGTCTCCAAATCCTGCGTGGAATAAACACTCGTCCTTCAAACTGGCTGCTACTTTTCTTAACACTTCATACTCTGGCTGATCCCGTCTATCCATATAACCAATTATATGCCTTTTATCTTCACTCAAATCATGCAACTCTTTCAAGGAACCAAACTGAACAATTGGGTCCGTCAACTGCTTCTTAATAAACTCAGCGAAGGCCTCAACTGATCTTTGACCTAAAAGGTTATAAGGATGAGATAAATGCCCAATTTAAATTACCAATATTGAATAGAATGAAAATCAATATACTTCAAGGTGATAATGGAGCAATGCTAATGCACATTAAGCTAAAACAATTTAGTGATAACTTATTATTAACATCAAATTTACAATCAAGTAGAGAATTTTATGAGTTTTAAATACAAATAAATATAAAAATAAATATTCATTCATTAACAATACCAAGAGTAGCCTTATTTACTAGTGAGTTTAGGACACTATTCACAAAAAATGTGTTTTTGATTAATACACAAAATATTACCTCTATATTCTTTCTTAGCTGGAAACCCATTCCGGAACAGTTTCAAAGTGGGATATTTGGTAATATGAAACCTTGTAGCAATAGCACCTTCTTGGTCACAATCTACTTTACCCATAACAACCTTTCCAGGGTCATATCCTGCTTTAGCTACTTCAACAGCCGCATCATCAAAAATGGGCATCAATATATTACTGAACTTACACCATTCAGCATAAAAATTTATAAAAACAATCTCATTGGAAGCTAAAACAAGGGATACATATTAATCAAAAAAAAAAAACATGTAAATTTTCATATTAACGAGCTTTAAACGTTCACTTACCAAGTACCATATCTAAATTGCTCTGTGTAATTTGTACAGCGCCGCTATCGATAGGATTGTAAAAACTATGGCAGATCTAAAACATAACAAACAAGTTGGTTAGTAAACCAATTCATTAATCCTTAACAAACCATAAAATCCACCTTCACCGCGTAAACGCCGTATAAAATACTTATACTCACCAAAACTACTAACGATGCTATTAATTTATAACTAAATGTATCAACTAGATTTAGATTCATTTTTCAAATTAGTCTTTGGATTATCTTTAGAAAAACAAAATTTTGACTTAGTCTTAGTTCCAGAACCTAAAATAATATGCCGCTCACCGTACCACTTTCTTTTACGTTTGGTATAGGTATTATAGGAAATTGTGGTCTGTGGATCACTTTTCAAGTTTGGCACTTACAACTAGACACATCGTCATTTTGAAATACTTTGTTACCGATTCAAATTTTAATCGATTTTGTTAGCTGAAAACCGGTAAAATGATGAAGTTTAGTCTTAAATAATATAATAAGTTAAATGATACCTAACGTGAAGCATTTAATTCAAACATTAAATTTTATTAAAAAAATAAAAAAAAATGTGCCTTAACTTTTTTATTAAATAAAAATCGTAAAAGGTTACTTTTACTACGGAATACTTTTTAAGAGTTATATAATTAATTTAAACAAGGCTCATAAAACGAAAAGCATCCATATTCTACAAAATCCGTACCGATCCGTACCGTCAAACAAGATGTAGGTATAGGAATCGAGGTGGATAAGGACAAAATCAGATTTTGTCAATTACAGATTGGATATTAACTCTAATATCTGCAAACCATAGCCTATCAAATAATAAAAATGTATTGTATAATTCTTACTGTCTCAACTAATACTATTTATTTGATATAAAGTTAGAAAAATATGCCAAAACAACTTCTTAAAGCTGAACGGAAATATTCCCTATTAACGTGTCTTTAACTTTATCGAATTATTGCGATTTTATAGTTACTGTTGAGTGTCTTGCTTATTTTACAATCCGTATAAAATAAGGTTAGTACTGTTGAGAAATTTTTCAAATTATATTTTATCATAACTTATGCTTTATTTACATCCCAGGAGGTTTTTGATATACTTTCTTTGAATGGTTCTTAGAAATAGCCGAAGGGTCGATAGGGTCGGATATACCATCGACTTATACTAATGGACATTCCGTACGCGTATAATCTGCAGTAATTTTTTGGTTTGAAAAGAGTGAGAGAGATGGCCTATGCTTTCGGTCTAGCACTATCTCTTTCCTCATAGGTAGATGACTGGCGCTCAGTTTTCACGAAGGGGCTCATAACGTCTTATTAAGTACGGTACTATTTTGAGAGAGATAAAGATAGACCGAAACTTCGTTTCCTCTTTTTCTTTCGGAGTGCCACAATTCTCATCTCTAAGGCATGTCCATTAGTATAAGTCGGTGCTATGCTGTATGTGATGTTAGTAAAAGGCCTATAAGAACACTTTTTATTTAGTTTTTTTTTTATTATCGTAAATTTTATTACATACCTATTTTTTTAAGAACGCTTTTGGGTACATGTTTGTATATTATACAATCTCATTAATAACGATAACTATGTACCTACATTGTTGTAAATATCTGCTCTATTTAAAATAGTCAAAATATTGTGGCTATAGTATTGATCACAATTATGTGGTGTGCTCAAGGTGTTAGAAAGTAACTTCTGAAAGCCTCTAGTACAATTTTTGAGCAAATGTGATGTTTGGCTGGCATGTTCTTCAATACAGAAAACTAAACTTCGGTTTTTTTTGCTATGAATTATTAAAGGCCCTATCAAGGAACTGGAGGCTAATTGGAAGCTGAGAGTTATAAATAAAATGCTCATTGTTATGTGTACTGTCACAAAATGAAAATGTTTATCGACGATATTAAATTTGAATTTGAATATAGAACCATATTGAATTGTACTTCTTAATAAGTGATCTTGTTATAAACCCATCAAATTGTTCTTTTGACTAGCAGTATATAGTCTTTGTGGAATGGTTAACCAAATATCTGTTAGATCCGTACACAATCCAATTCCAACTGTAGCAAACAGTGATCATCACTTTGCTCTCAGTTACCGCATTTTAGTACTATTTTTATACCAATAGTGGAAAACTACTAAACTAATAAGTACCTACCTAATTTTTATCAAAGCGGTTTCGGAGATAATCTTCTAAGGTTCGTAAGTCATAAATAGTGAGAAGAAATTTGGGACTTAACGTCCTGGACATTACTGAGGCTTTCGAATGCTCCAGGCCTAAAATTTTCCATTAATGTTCATTATCCTACAGATTACTAAAGGTATGCTGAGGGACCTCAAAGACTAAAGATCTTTGTGGAAGAAACCTGTTCGCCTCCAATAACGGTGACGTTACCCAAGATTTTGTGCCATCCCTTATAATAATAATCGTAAGTGACGGTCTAGACATATGTATTATACGATCTTAAGCAGATGTTTTATATTTTAGAAACGGGCCGAGTAATTATTACTTGTAACAAGTGGAAGAGTACATAAAAGTATCTCCAGTTAGAACCTTATTAGAATAGATTTCTAGATGTTATTCAATTTCTAAGCATTTGTCCCTTTTCCACTTAAAAAATCACATAAAAATTAACCCAAAAAATCAATTTACTTCTATTTGATTCCATAAAAAGTAGCACTATTTGAAATTGTGACTATCCCACACTTTTAGGCGATCTTGAATCTTAAGCGTCGCATGGTTTTAGGAAAAGTTTTGTAATATTGGAAATGAAATGCATATTGAAATGTTCAGAAAAATAGTTCAACATAATACCATCATTCTTTTCACCGTAGAAAGACATTGATTTTCTCTTTCGAGTATTCTTACATTTTGTTTTATTTTTCGGATAGGTCCAAAATGCAGTGTATATGAATGTTTATTTTGAATTCTTTTGAAGACGTATATTTGAAACAGCCCTTATTTTCCAGATATTAATAACCACCACTAGCGATCAGATGCGGAGTCTATTCGTTTGCCCTTTAAGGAACATAAAAAAAAATATCACAAAGACTTACGTATTCTAAAAAAAATGCAGAAAGCCAGAATAACGGGCATAAGCTCAATGTTAAATTGGTTCCTGAGAATGCTTGGTATATTAAAATAACATAGTTTGTTTTGTTTTTCTTATACAATGTTTCAAGATCCTATAATAATTCACATTGGAAATATTGACTTTCTCGCTTTACATATAAAAAAATATCAAATTTCTATATTCAACAGAAATCTAGAATAGTTCCAGTTCAAATTTTCTTTTCACAGTTTTTATTAATCTCTTTTGGATGTAGTTACAAAATATAAAAAGATGGCTTTTTTTATTTTTTTGGAACCATGAATGTTTTTTTATTACATTCTTATTTTTTATGCATCATTAAATGTATATAATATCATGTGAGCACTTAATTTGCGTGATTGCCTGAGTTCGAATTTTATTACATGATTACTAAAAAGAGAATATAATCCTCTTGTATGTATTTTTTACAGATAGCAGTAAGCATAATACAGAATTCTACACATTCATATAGGAGTGGAATGCTGTATTAAACATAACACATACATATAGAGTATTTTGTGTAAGAAATGTATGTCATTTTAATCATTTTTTTAAAATATACTGTTACTCTAAACAATAAACAGGAAATATTATAAATGCATTTTATTACAATGTCAAAATACATTGAAAACTTAACATTAAAAGTCACTTATATAAATATTCTATAGAACATGGACGGATAATGAACACTTTAGTTATTAAATGATATGCTACCTTATTTTTATTAAAGTTAAATTCAAAATTCAATTACATACAATAAGTACATTTAGGTAAAATACATTTGTATTAAAAAAATACTACCCAATTGTAAGTGCAATTTTTCCTTCAATGCAAAACATAATCAGTTTATGACGAATAAAATAGTAGCCATAAAATTAAAATAGATGATTCCTAAATACATTTTCAGACTTATAAGATTCTACAACATTGGATATGTTAGACACAGACTTCTATTAACCTAAGAAACTAATTATAATACAAACATGTAAAAAAAAGCAGATCCAACAATGGACGGAATGTTAACTTTTGTTAAAAATGTACAAATAAAAGTTATTAATGCAAAAATTAAAAAATATATATATAAGGTATATAAACAATATATAATATTGTAAAAGTTTGAAAGTATATGAGTAGTCAGTTTCTAAATGACAAAACTGCAATAAGATTAATCCTCCAAGTAGAATACTGGTAAATGGAATAGCATGGTCACTTCCACTCTGAAATTAAAAAAATCTTATGTTCATATAGTGACATATATTATGTTCAAATAGTATCTTATATATAAAATTCTCATGTTGTGAGTGTTAGCAGAGAATTCTCAGACCAATTTTGATGAAATTTTGTGAGCATATTGAGTAGGTCTGAGAATTGGCCAACATCTATTTTTTTATACTTCTAAGTCATAAGGGTTGTTCACCATTTTCACCTTTTCACCCTTTTTTTTTTTCGGACGAACTTTTTTGTTTCTATTTTTTTATAATGTAGCATTAAAAAATAATACAACCCATAATTTTTTGTATGTCAAAAAATGTTTTGCCAGGGTCAGCTAGTATAGTATAAAGATAACTCTTTATAGTGGTAAATAACAAATAATGTTTATAGATCATTTTTTCTACTTACAATGATGTAGTAGTTACAACGGTCACCTTGGCAGCAGTCTCCACATACCCAGTCTTGATACCATATATAAGTACACAGAGGCATATAGCGCTGTCGGTTTGTTGCACATTCTGTCTTGTTGGAACATCTTTTCGATATATAATACTGCTTTTTAGTACCTTGTGACCAATACGGCGTACTTCCCCATTTAATTTCGGTCAAACATACATCTTGATTGAAATCACAGGTTTTAATACTTTTAACACATTTCTCTGAATTATCTTCCTGATTTTCGCACACATAACATTCGAGACATGAGACTGGAAAAAATAATAGAAATAGTTAAAATAATTAAGACAAACAATCTACTTAACAACATAAAAAGTGAATACCTTGTAACACTAAGGCACACAGGAAAATTGTTAATATCCCTAGCATTCTTACTCTAGACATATTTAAACATTTAAAAACTATTTAATAATATGTCCTGCTAATTTAGGGGAATGTTATTTAAGTTATGATTTTGAATTGCACGGGTGTGGCCTGTTTGGGAATAATAACAAACCAGTAATCAAATGACAGTTGAAACGAAACTTGAAACTTGGAAGTTCTAGTTGACTGTTGACAATGTATAGCAAACAATGGCATGGACTCAAATTTAAAAGTAATCAAAATTCTAATACGAAGTTTAAAAAAGGGGAAAAAAATGTAAGGGATAATTAATATTTAAGGAATGTTAAATTACATAATTTTTATTATATAGACGTTAGCAAAGCAACACAAAATTATTATTATTTTTTCGATTAAGTTATTTATTTAGTTAGTAGGTTAATTTTATGTAAAACAAGTTTTTTTACCTTTTCTAACATATGACAATATTTCAATATCATTAAAAATACTTAAATAGAAACATTTCATAACCTTTTGATCATTGTGGTTTTAAAAAATAATTGAGATTTACATATTTATAATCGCTTTAGTAACAAATACTAAAGAAAATAAACAATCAAATTTTCCCTTAAATTGGTGTCATTAAAAAGTTGTCTTAAAAGTTTCATAAATATGTAATCATTAGTTAATGTCTTATATTCTTGGTCATTTTTTATGTTATGGCTTTATTCACACTGAAATTGTGGAGTACTTTTCCCAAAATTAACTTACAGGTGCAATGTTTTAATTTTTTCTTCATTCGATGGGTCAAAATTTTACAGTGTTAGGCTTACGTAGGACGAAAATACAGTCGTGTCATGTGTCAAATTGACAGTTGAAAATCTCCGAAAATCAAATTTAGCAAAATTGCAAAAGTAGACTTATCGATACTCAAAAGTAAACAATAACTGAATATAAATTTGAAACATATGGAAGGCGTGTTGTGGAAATGGACAAACTATTGGAATGGTATTAACATTTTAAATTTTAATTATATGATCGAATTAGTTAATGTTTATGTAATTTAGATGTTACTGTGATGCAATGTACTTTCACAGGTTGGCAAACCAGATGGTTTGTGCTAGAAAACGGAATCTTATCATATTATAAATCTCAAGAGGAAGTTATTCAAGGATGCAAAGGTTCTGTGAAAGTATCTGTGTGCCAGATAAATGGTAGAGTATTTTTCATAATATATTCAAAATATTGAAACAATTATAATAAAAATAATTACAATAAGTAATCATGTCATTTCAGTAAACAATATTGACAATACTCGCCTGGATTTAGTCATTCCTGGTCAACAGCATATGTATTTAAGAGCTCCTTCTCCACAAGATAGACAAAAGTGGTTGGTAGCTCTTGGCAGTGCTAAGGCTTGTGTGGAATCCATTATTGAATTTAAAGGTACATTTCTTACAACTCATTTGATAGTATATGCTACAGAAATTGTCTAAACCCTAATAAATAATTTTTCCAGGAACTGGTTATGAAGATTCTTTGACTCACAAGAAATCAGAATTGCATCTTTACTGTGATCTCCTAATGCAACAAGTGCATGCAGTTAAGAGTGCAGCTACAACTGAAGGTGGTCCAGATGTCCAGGTATTAAAGACTTTTGTATTAAAATACATTTATTTTAGATGAAAATAAAGAATTTTATGTATATTCTATAAATTATATGATATTATATATATGTATATGTAGATTGAACTTGAATTTATGTAATATCCATAACAACAGGCCACTTTTGGTAATCAAAAAGGTTGTTCTTGAAAATAGCTTTATAATAGTAACTAAAAAGGTTGTGGTATGTACTGGAATCTTTGAGCTTAATTTTTGTCAGTTTCTAGGAAAGCATGGGGTGCATTTGACTAAATTTCATATCTTTTCTCTCATACATAGTTGCCACTACAACAATTGTAACATTCACAAGATTCTTTTTCTGAATAAATTTTCTTTTATAACTTTAAATTTTGAGGTGCAGATTGTTTGCTTTCCATGGTTATCAATAAAATATTTTCTTTTTGGTTAGCTAGAGCTTTTTCTTAAATTTGTTTATCTATACAAGCCAGTGTGCATTATGGTTATCAATAAAATATTTATTAGAGCTTTTATGTATTTTACTTTCAGAAAATAACCGAAGCTTCTAGTCTACTGACAGCTACCTGTGACACTTTCATTAGAACACTTGAGGACATCATGAAAATTACGAGTACTACTACAAGTATTACAAATTCTATACCTTATGAAATGCCAGTTCCTAATTTAGCTATTAATAAAAATAGCAGCAGTACAAGTAAAACGACATCCAACAAAAACCTTATACCTGCTCGGTCAACGTCACAAGAGAATAGATGAGTTATATGATTATTTTTAAACCATTACTCTATGTATAGGTAAAATTTTATTGTAAAAAGCTGTCAATTTATAATTAGGCATGTAAATAAAGTATTGTATGTAGAAGTCAAAGCAAACTATGTACTGTCTATAAATTATAACTGTGCAATCAGTTTTGAAAAGTGTTTAAAGAATGTTTTATTGTTAAAATTCTGAGTATTTTTTTTATATTGATCTCTTTAAGACTTGTTTTTTGTAACTGTGATAATGTTTTTCATGTAAAGTTGTCATAGTTTAACTATCGTGATTTTTCATTCATTTATTGGATCTGTTTTAATTGTGAAAAATTAATGTTTATTTATTCAATGTGACATGTATTAAAAAGAACCAAAAAAATTCAAATTATTCCATTTGGGACATTCCAAGTAATAAGTACTTACTGTAATGTATATTCCACTTTCAGTATTAAATTCATTTTAAATAAATGAAAGTCTATAATTTCATATGTTTTTACATTTATTTTTGTTTATAAAATTAAGTTTTACATTTCATTAAGTTGTTTACCAAATAGGTTCACCAAATCTGAGGACTGTTTTTTCTTGGGTATCAAGTTCCATTCCGACTTTTTTTCTCATGTAAAATATAGTGCAGTCTCTATTTGTGCACAGTACTTCTTCATGAAGACTTCCTTGACATCGTTGACATTCTGTCCAAAGCCTTGAGAATCTCTCTTGCAGTTGCCTTAACTTAAATACTTCAGTGATATACAGCTGCCCTTCATTTTTTAAACAGTGATCACATAAGGCCTTTTTAGTATCATTAGGCATAACGGTTTTACAACCAATACATTTTTCCTTTTTTTTAGTAAATGCTGCCAGTGCACCAACTTTAGATGTGACCATTGCCTTTGTCCTTGTATGTTCACCTTTAAGTAGTAAAGATTCAGCTTTTTCACCTAGTATTGGTTCAAAAATTCTGAGTAAGGGTTTAGATAATTGATTTTCTAAATAATAATTAAAATCAATGGGCACACTATTTTCTAAAACATATATGGGATCTTCTGCCTTCATATATGCAGGAGTATTTTTTGCAGCACTACATAAAACATATGGAACTCTGTCACCAAGCTTAGGTGCAGTACCAGCGTCTCGTTTTTTCATTTTATTAGCCAATTCAACATGAGCTTGTTTAGCAGCATAATCATTTTTAGTGAGTTCCTTAGTTATAACAAGTTGGGAAATATCAATGCGGTTACATAAGAGATCAGGATATCATTTGTTTGGCATAATTAATAGCACCATCAGGATCTCTATCTATTAAAAGTTTCTGAAGACAAGTACTCATCATATTCGAAATTAAGGGACAGTTATCTCTTCTGACAGTTTCTATGCCTTTACAATCCATCTTATCATATTTATCTGGTTTAGTAAAATAGAGTCCCGCATACCTCTTTTTATTAATAAGAAGGTAAGGGTAATATACTTTTTCAAACTCCAATTTAATGGGTTTAACAAATTTTGAAGTCACAAATTCAGCAGCTTCTCTACCAAGCTCCATGCTTTCTTCTAAAGTTTTCACACCAAATTTGACCATGACTGAGTCAGTGTCGCCATATATGACGACAGCGTCTTCCTTGTATCCATTGGACTTAGTATATTTTTTTTCAACTTCTGCTCTGGTAAATTCTATCATAGTCCTTCCATATGCTGTTACACTACCTGATATTTCTAAGCAAGGTAATTTGCCAACTTGAGCACCAGTGAAACCATAAACAGAGTTTGCACTAATTTTTAAAGCTAATTGTCTGCCATCAAGCACAGATCTTTTTAATGGATCCTTTCTCTTCTTTTAAGTCCGCCTTAGCTTTTTTTCGAGCAGCAAGTAGGGATTCCAAAATTTCAGGTAGTAATCCTTTCCGTTTGTGTGCTTTAACAAACATATTATTGGAAGGTGTAACAGTTACATCATCAGAGCTCAGATTAATTTCTTTCTGAATGTTGGGTGGCACTAATGTAGTATAGCACAAGTTATGGGCCATCATTATACTTGGGTATAGAGATGCAAAATCCAATGTTGAGATTGGATCCGCATAATATCCCTTTTTTGGTTCAATAACTGTAGCCCCCTCAAATTGTTCTTCGGAACCTTGACCATGGTAAGCTGGCATTAAATACCCTGCTCCTTTGGATTTCCGCAATAACTGGCTTACAACTTTGATTTGCTGACCACGAGTTAATAAACATAATAAAGGAACGCCAGTGACCCTGGCCATTTCTATATAATTTATAATACACATAAGCTTATTTAATAGCTTAAGAGGTAAATAAGCATCCTTTAAACAATACATAGCTAGACGCCTTCTTGTCTGTTCATTTTCATTTTGTAAGTCTGAAATAATACTATGGTGAACATCTTCTTTTTGTTCTTGAAGAAAATGATAACTGACTGCATTTAAAGTATATGATCTCAATTTATAATCTCTTACAAGAACCAGTAGTAAATCAAAAGGAACCCTGCCCTCAAAATTTATACTTTTATTTTCTCTTCGGCCCATTTGTTTCGACTGTAATATTGTGTCTTTGATAACAGATCGGATATTTTTAATACGACCTAAAAAGTCAAAAGAATCAACTTTGAGATGTTTGGCCCGGTTGATTAGATAAGGCCAGTCAAAATTACATATATTATATCCTGTAATAATATCTGCATCAAGCTCTCGGAAGAAGTCTGACCATTTTGATAACATCTCTGCTTCGGACTGAAAACTGAATACTTGAGATCCTACAATAGGTGCACATGTGTTTAAAGTAAACACATTTCTTAAATATGGTTCGCTTTCTCCTTGTCTTATGACCATTGAAGCAATTTGAATAACAGGATCGTGTTTTGGTTCTGGAAAAACACCTTTCCTACCAGCACATTCGATATCAAAGCTTAAAATTCGAAAAGGTGCAAGTTTTAGCCATTCTCCTTCTGGTTGATGAGAAATGAACTGATTCCATGCAACATCAACTTCAATTTGGCACCTCGATTCTGGCTTTAATGAATTATCTTTTGTTCTTAATGACCATTTAGCAGGAGGTAGTTCTATCCAACTACACCCGACAACAGATGTGTCGACCATAAATCGAATATCAAAATCAATGTTTGTTTCATAAAATGTAGGATTCATAAGGCCAAATGAAGTTGGCTGTCTTTCGATTAATCTTTTTGCTGCAGCAATTAATTTCGGCAGAGCGACAGAGACTCGAGCAAATGTTGTGTCGTCATCATTTTTGTAATACATGATAGATTTAGCTTTCACTAATTTCACTTCTAAAACTGTTTCCCTAATGTTATCTTTATTAGAACGAAGATCTTCGAGAATAGCTTTGTTTAAGTTTGATTTTAATTCATGACAGTTGGATTCTTTAAAATTAAAAGGTACTGTGACATAAAAGTATGGTGTAAAACCATGTACATGACAGCAAACTGAATTACCTTCCATTGTTACACCATACATTCTCATTATTGGCACAGGACCTATCTGAGATCCAGGCATATCTTTCAATGGTTGCCCATTGTAATGATCTATGTCCAATTGTTGAAAAACCAATTTATCAACTTTAGGATCTAGATCCGGCGGTTGAGGTCGTGACCATTTCATGTTCGTACTTTGATTTTCAGGTCCTTCGCCAAATGCTTGAGGCGAATCAAATTCACATTCCATGCCAGCAAGTTGGTCTTCAAACGAACAAGGTAATTCAACGTCATCGTCGTCATCATTAGATTTAAACCTCTTTACTGGAGGAACTTTTGATTGTTTTTTCTTGTCCATTATAGATTTTAAACGAAATGACAAAATACTATCAACTTGCAGTCTTTCCCGCCAAATCAAAGCAAAACGAAAAACTTGATTAGATTTTGATACGTAAGGAAATAATTGTATTCAAATCCGATAGGGCTCTTTTAATACTTTAAAACTTAATATTTTTAAAATATGTAAACTTTTAAAATATGAAAAAGTATTAATTTAAAAAAGATTATACATAATACCGAAGTTTTGATTCGTTGATTTGACATTTAATGGGATGACAATGACAGTTTCTTAGATATAACCAATAACAAGGATTTAGTCTGGCTGGATTCCAGGAAATTTACTAAGTTTCGGTTCGGGGTTAATTTATTAATAGAGTTCAAAAAAATTGCAGATTTTGTATGAGAATCAAATTATACAACACATATTTACTTGTTTAAATATCTTACTTCACATATAAAAAAATATAGTTGAGTTTTGGTGTATTGTTATTTGTTATGTTTATCTTTGCCAATTTTAAATCACTCAATATAATATTTAAATTTGTGATAGTGTCTTGAATTTATATCATCAGGGTAACAAAAGAAAATAAGCACCTACTTTAGAAATGATAAAATTGTTGTAAGTCATTTTACATGATTAAATTATGGAACCAATTATAAAGAAAAAAAAATCATAAATATTAAATCGTCCCCTCTTCTAATATATATGACTTATTATTTAGTCGATTCAAACATATTATTAAATACAAATATAAAAGCATTTAAATAATTCATTTACTTAATATTGGGGCTTTGAAAGGGACTTATCCTAGTCCTGCACTATCGATGCAGGTAATATGGCTTTAACTTCCCCCCTGGCCCCTTCCGAGAATTGTCCTGATATCCTAATTTAACGTTTTTTATAGTAAAATCTTGAAAGTGTTTAGAGTTTATAATATCTTGGGTGGGATTATGAATTCTCATAAGGCGTCTTCTTCTGTTGACCTCCTAGACCGAAGTGCGCAGGCTGATTACACTTAAAACCTATTCTCACAAGGTTTTCTATTGACTAAGGTACGAAGACAGGCTGATGACTTAGCTTCTAAGTGGTATGCTGTTCTTTACTTGTTTTCTGTCTGCCACTTTACCTATATCGTAGGATGTTCTAGAAAAACTCAGGAGATCAAAGTAGCGTGCTATCTCCCCATTAAAGCACTCTGATATTTGAGTAAACAGGAATAAAAATAACCCTCATATTTTAGAAATCATCTATTTTTCTCTGTTCGCTCAAGTTTGCATAATTTACTTACGTATGATATTTTACTGGTTTTCAATTGATAATTAAATTTTTAATTGATTCATTTAGCATATAGGTATCTCCATAGTATATTTTTTCACCTATAGGTACCTGACTATCCTTTACTCTGATTATTATTATCTGTAAAAATAATCCTTTGTAAAATATTGGCAATACTATGGACCTATTTTTTATGCGTCTAATTGAATGTTTCCTAACAAAAACGTTCTTCAATTTATATTTTTGTTTGACAAATTTGCACAAGTTTTTATTATATCTAATCTTTTAGAATATTAACTGTATAGGGTCTCAGTATTATTCCACCTGTTAATGAGTAGAAATGAAGGCTTTGCCTTGCAAACATTCTAGTCGAAAGGATAAGTAATCATATGAGAAGGCTAAATATACATTCTTTTCGTTATGGAAGGAGGATGCACACCGCTTCGTCTGGATTCGGGAAAAGTCTACAACGAAAGTAAGGAATCCCATCGTGAGCCTGATTGCCTGATGATGAATGTGCCATTCTAAGTGCATACCGTCTCAGGTGTGGCTTATAGAATATAGATAGGCTGATAATTTTACGCTTGTTATGACTAGATTGGTGTTAACCAAGACTGGGTCACCAATGAGCCTTTATGTATCGCAATATCATTTATTCGATGGTTTTATTTATTTCAATGTCCTAAGAAGTTTATGGTTTGCAACAACTTTTTTAAATAATGAGCAGTTATTATTGAAAATGAGATTAGACTTTTGACTAAAGATCCTGGTAGTTAATTTTGCATTACTAAGACTAATACCGTTTTAAGGACGGTGTTTAGGCGCGGATCTGATACTCCTTAAACAATACCCCGCTAGTTACTCAGGGGTGTTGTATTTGTTTCCTGAGCCGTATCAAAGTCATGTACATCTCCTAAGCGAAATCTGGATGCTAAGGCTTATAGGCCGTGTTGTATGCGATTTATTGTAGAAGATGAAGTTGAAGTCGAACCTTGTGGAACACCTATAGGTTCTATTATTATTATGACTATACAATTATTATTTTACTATTATGACACTAGCTTAAATATTAATATAATAATAATCATAATATTGCCTTAATATTTTTTCCGTAGCACAGGGGCCCCTGAACGGAGAAAATAATGCCTCAATAAAACGGCCCTGATTTAAAATATATAGGCCTAGTAACTATCTCCTAAAAAGCCTATTCCAAGTGGAATGAATGATATAGTTCAAAACACGTACTGCCTCTATCGCCCTATATCTTTACGAATATCTTTAAAATATCTAGTTTTTAGAAGTCTGGAAATATATATTTCAAAGGACATTGTTATTAATTATTATCTATACATTGTAAAATGTCATTATAAATCAAGTGTTATTTTAAAATAATATGAACATCTTGGAATGAATCTGACAGATAAGGTTACAAACATCACCTCACCCAATAATTGATACTGTTTTTTTTTTTTTTTTTTTTTTTTTGTTTATTTATTTATTTATTTATGTACCAAAAAGAAAAAAATAGTTACAATTAAAGTATTATAAAAAAATGTGATGTACAAAGGATAACTTATCTTTTAAAAGAGATCTCTACCAGAAACCTTTTTGATAGAGGAAATGAGAAGAGAAATGTGGAATAGGTACAATAAAATGAGAGAAGGAAAAAAAAAGTTGTTGTTTAATTATTTGCATATTATTTAGCAGTTGTCTTAACAAGAAATCTGTTTTATAGTAAACAGATTTCCCTTTTTAACTTTGTACATATAATTTAAATAAATAGCAAAACTGCCTGTTTCCATTTTTGGTTTCCATGTGGCGACGATATAAAGGCGCCATCTGATGATAGACATGTTCTTGTCTGAGTCATACTTATCAATTTATTCATATTAATATTGTTTTGAAATTATTAATGTTTTTTCCTCCTTTTAGAGCAAATAAATGTTTATTTTCCGATGTTTGTTCAATGTTAAAAAAAATGTGACCGTCTTATTTAATTATATAGGACGAATAGGTATAATTAAAGTGTTTTTACATACTGTAATACATTATGCAATAATAAAAAAGTTGAGTCAATGTATTGTAAGCGATAGATAATACAATAATGATATTAATAATGAGAATTAGTTAGATTTCATCACTGGATTTCACACGTCAATTTGGCGACGGCAAGACTGACCGTTAGATTAAAACATACGAAGCATTTTTGCGTTTAGTAGCATCCATATGGTGTTTTTATTTATGGAATAAAATATAAAATAATTTTCGTAATATATAAAAATATTTCGAAATTATTTCGTTTTGTCAATGTCAGGATAAAACCCATTTTTTTTTACTGTCAAATTTTTTTTTGACACAAACGGTAAAACAAATGATGCTTTAAAATTTTTACGTGAAATTATGTCAATTTAAAAAACCATGATAACTATACTATATTACGATATATTACGATATTACAAAGCTTCACGGTTAATTCGTTAAGAGTCAAGATGGAATAAAATTTTACGTTTTATATATAAAAACTGAACTTAAAAAAAAAACATAAAAACTTAATGTTCTAAAGACTTAAAACAAATATTGAAACAGATAAAAACGGTTCAGATTTAAAGTTAATTATTTATTATTTTATTTAACAGCATGTTTTATAAGTTTGCAATAAAACGGGGGAATTAAGCCACAGCATAAAAAATAATATTCACACAATAGGTAAGTATATAAGTAATATCTATTTCAAAATAACGAAATTTCTGACCGTACATTTGTGTGGTAATAAATATAAATAAGCTAGACAGGGTCAATTGATTGGCGACGAAAACCGTTCAATTAGTTGATTCATTTCTTACGACGTTCTCTAGACAAAACAGTAAAATAATAACTACTCGTAAAACAGAACAATGAAATAAATACTCACGATATTAACGTTGTTTGAGGATGATTGAATAAAACAAATTATTTTGCATATATATTAATCCTCATTTTTGTTTATGAAATATACGTATATAGATTTATCGGCTACATGCTTTCGTTTTGCTATAATTATGTTTAGATATATGTATTTTAATGTTTGCGTCATTTGTGAAGGAAAATCTTTTGTTATTCAAGCTTAGGGAACTAGAACTAACACTGAACACAAATCACTCATCCCAGCGACATTGATTCTTGGTATCGATAATTGAATAAAGTCATTCATTATTATTATAGAGTATAATAAAACCGGCATTACAAGCGCTTCGATTGTGTCATTTTACGAGTTCTACCAGCTGCATTACTGCTATCTTTATTAGTTGCATTGACTACAGATGTGAGATAAAAGTACTCATTGACCCGTCTCAGACATCAAGGAGAGTTGGAGAATGTCACATACAATACAACGAACATTTATTGATGTTTAAGTCCCCTTTACAGTTTCGATAAGAAGTCGCAAGGTGAAGTAAGGATATGCGAGTAACTAGCAGTAAACGAGCCTTTGTTAGGTGAGTTAGTCGATAGCAATGCATCTATCTTATCTGCGGAATGTTCCATCCCTCAGCGCCGTTGGTTACCACTTAGCGCGACTTCACAAAGGTTGGATACTTTTGTCAACGAAATTCTATATTATCTTAAACTCTTTATTTCTTTAACGGTACGTTTTGTCTTTTTTTTTCTAGTCATTATCTATGTCCCCTTATTAGATCTTATATTTGAGTACAGCATCGTAAATTATAGAAGAGTAATTTCTTAGAGGAATCCACTAATGTTTATCA